GTATACGCGTCTTGCACCGGCAGCCACGGAGGGGAAGGAGTGTTCATTGACAGGTAAGGGAGGGGGATGAGGGCAATTCCATTTTCCCAAATTACCCTGGGAAAGTGGAATCACCCTTTAAGTGTAGGGGAAGAGGAAAAAGCAGTACTGCTCACCTTCCTCCTCAGATTATCTCTACCTCTACAACCAGTCCCTCAAAGTCTTGGCACTCCAGATGGAGGAGTTCTGCCATCACATACAATGCAGGGGGGGGCACTTCAAGGGTGGACTATATGTAATTCCCATAGTTCAGCTTTAATACAAATACTGGTGTCTTGTGGTTACTGCCTTAAGGCCCCATTCACACTGAGTGTTTCATTGCGCGGAAATCCACACGATATCGCGCATATTTGCTCTCCAATGCATGTCAATGGAGCTGTGCGCGTCGCTTGTGTGGGACCCTTTTTGGCACGGATGTCGTGCAATTGTAACTCAGCCCAATGCAAACATTTGCGCAAAATCGTGCAACAAACACGCAATTTGCAATACGCTCAGTGTGAATGGGGCCTTAGACAGGACTGGGCCAATCCCAGGAACCAGGTAGCCAATGCTCTTTAAAAATAAAAGCAATGCCCAAGTTAAGTTTGTCTCTAGTTGTTGTCAAAGGCACTGGCTCCTGAACTGGACAGACTGGCGCCTGAATTCAGTATTCATCTTTTAACCCGATTTAAAGTTACTACATTTATCTTATGAGCTCCAATAATCCACTAAAAGCTGCACTAACCTATCAGACTACTATGAACTACTCAGATCTGCAAGCAAATGAGTTTGGATTGGTCATCAGGGGGTTACTACACTTCACCGTCTTAAATATGTCCGCCACTCTTGCCTAGAAAACTCCGGATCACAATAGACACTCTCCCCTCTAAGAATAGCTCCACCTGTTGCTTTCCTACAGTTTGTCATTGCTTCAGCAAGGACACAGAACAGGCCCAACTCGCTGCTTTCAGGTTGACACGGACTATGCCGACCTTCTGCTCACCCTGAAAGGAAGGACAATCTTCCAGTGTACTACACAGCCGTTTATTTCATTTTGGATCTGAATGCAAATATTTAAATGATAGTCTTTTAAGATTATATTCTTTATGGCATTCTGAGCTTTACAATAAGAATTTTGTTGCATTTGCCGAAGAAGCGCAGCAACACTCGACATGAGGAACGCCATTATATTCAATATGCTCCTTCATATCTGAACACGGAGTCTCTTGTAGCTTGAAAACGTATATGACCATCTTTTCAGGCAGAACAGACTGTTTCGGGGCCCAAAGACTTCAATGTGAATTGCCAGAAAACTCTCACACTCAGGTGTGAAAGGGGGCTTAGACATACTGGTCAAAAGGCCTAAAAAAAAAAAAAAGTTTTCAATCGCATTTCAGGTAAACTGGCTGGAGATCATTTAAAAGAACAGAACTACAATGTATACGAGAGTCACGCCTATAGCACCAACAAGCCTAAGGATTTAAAACCGTGCTCCAGCCTTAAAGGTGACACTAAGAGACAGACGGAGTCTCAGGAGATGAACAGAATGGCAGTGTCCTTCTGCCCTGAAGAGAGCCGCTGGAGCAAAGAGGAAGTAGAGGCCGGCGCTCGAGCATGGAGAGGGCGAGGAAAGATCGGCATAATTAGAGGGACCTAAAAAGAAAACAAAATTCCTGGAGTTCCACTTTAAGATTCATAAATGGAGTGGAGAAGGATTAGAACCTGATTTTATTGCTTTGCTTCCTATTTGTTCTAGTGACCAGGAGAGAAAGTATCACAGTTGTTACCAGAACAGTTGGGGAGGGGGAAATCTTCCAATGGGGACACCTGCGTAGGTGACAATGGTCTATAAGGAGTAGGAAAGAGTGCGAACAACCCTGCTCACGTGCGGCTTCCTCCACATAAACCTGAAGGACACTTTGTGACAAGCAATTAAAAGCAAAACTGCTTAACTAAGCTCCCCACTCCGCCAGTTCTGAGCTCAATGTAATTATTGGCTCGATGCTCACAGCTTCTCATAGGTGAGATTGTAGCAGCTCTCTCTCCACCAGCCAAACTGCATGTTGGGTCTGGAGAACCAGGCACACAGGACCAGCCAATTGTCACCATACAGAGGACCTCTAGTGCAGCCACTGACATCATAAAAGGGTCGCACATGATAGTATTGAATGTATTGCCACAGAAAGCTGTCAGAGACCGTAAACATGCTACAAGACATGGTCAGACAATGTAGTCATGCTGCAAGAGATGGTCAGTGAGTAGGTGGTCATGTTACAAAAGATGGTTCATCACTGGAGCCTTTTTTTAAACTTTATTTTATTGTTTATCCGATTAACCGATTAATCGAACCTAATAATCGGCTAACTAATCGATTTTGAAAATAATCGTTAGCTGCAGCTCTATAAGATACTATGATCATTGTACAAGAGATGGTCAGAGTTTGTGGTCATACTACACGAGAGACTACGGGGGTTGTGGATTCTTTTTAAAAACCATTTGTCCTTCATAACAATTTACTTGTTTCGATACAAAAAATAATTTTAACCAAAATCGCATTTAACCATGCAAAGAAGCGCTTCTCTTTGGTCCGCGCAGTCAGGTGACTGCGTGGACCAATGATCGGTCGCAATTTGCGAGCTAAATAAAAAATCCATATCGCAGGCATGCGCTGGACAGCAGTATGGAGTATAAATAGTACACCCGTACCAGTGGAGGGGGCCAGATTTGAGCAGGGAATTCCATTTTTCCCTAATTACTTGGGAAAGTGAACCCTCATTACCCACCCTTACATTGTGTGGGTAAGGGAGCACTGCTGCCTGGCTACCACAATATTGCACAAGGTGGTATGGGGGCAGCACTCAGTGTGTACGGGTATACACACACACAAACACGTTTATTCTCATGCAGATGGTGGCGGTGGTTCTCATTTTTTTCACTAAGCTTTTTTGCTATCACACAGGGACCAACAAGCCCCTATGTCAGGGGTGGCCAAACTCCGGCACTCCAGCTGTGGTGGAACTACAAATCCCATGAGTCACTGCAAGATTCTCACAGCCACGACTGCCAGAGAGATGCATCATGTGATTTGTAGTTTCACCACAGCTGGCGGGCCGGAGTTTGGCTACCCCTGCCCTATGCGATAGTGTTTTGAGGCAACAGGTTCCCTTTATAGAGCCTGCCCTCCAGTTCAGGACAGAGTACAGCACTCCCGTCTCACTGATCGCGTAGTGCAATCGTAGACCGGACGTTCTCCGCTCTGCTCCCCATCCCGAAGTCATTTGCTGTAGCCCTGGGTCCCCCAGAAGAGCGGGGGACCTAAAAACCATGGCAGTGAGTTTGGACATGCAGACTGCTACAAGTGATCTGGGCGGCTGCATAGCAGCACACATCACTTCTACAAAACGAGTGGTGGCTCCCCTGCTCTACATGTAACCCTGCTGGCCCACAAGTGGGCTATAGGTAGAAAAAAGAAACCACCTGCCCGGTGCCCGGAACTTCATGTCCTGGGCGTCAGGCGATAGGAATCGGACAACCCCGTGCTATATGATCATTCTACAAGAGATGGTCACAGAGTAGGTGGTGATGCTAAAAGAAATGGTAAGACTACATGCTACAAGAGCCGGTCAGTCTATACAGACGTGCTACAAAAGCCGGACAGACTGCAAGCTCGGAGTATTCCAGCGCCATTCTCCTGCCTGACCACGATTTATTGTGAAGATGTACAGACATGCTCCGGCTTCAAAGAGAACTGACGCATTTCACACAAAGTGCTTAATCTGAGGAGCTTCACTAGAAGACATTCGTGGACAGGAGACTCATTTCAGAAGACAAAAAAAAAGTGACATGAGACTGCTAGAGGTCAAAATGGTTCGCAATAAACGAACACATTGTTATCCTGAAAAGACTGTGTGCTGGTGACATTTCTTCAAACGATTCATGCTAGATATCAAAGCTGTCACATTTTGTACTCGCTACCATCCCTATAAAAAGGTCTTGTGCCTCAAGGAGCACTCTCAGGAATCTGGAAGTGGTGGATGGGACCCGAGCTGCATTCCTGGTGCACCTTTCACCATCCACTTCTCCAACCTTCGCAGCTTCTCCCCCTCTGCCTTCCTTCTCTTTTCCCCACTCAGGAACCTATTAAGTAAGCACCTATGTAAGGAAACTGTAGACAGTCTTCAGTGGCCCCCGAGTCGCAGGTTGGGCATCAGGGCTCTGACATCACTCGGTCTTTTCCCATCTGATGTTAGGATAACTTTTCCCTAAAGGGCACATGCAGTTGAAAACTTTTAGTTCCAGAAGGGAGGGATTAAAAGTCTGTTAGGGTATTATTTGCAGTCGGTCCCACTAGGTATATTCCCCTTCACTTCCTGTCCTGATGATCCACAGGAAATGATAGGAAACCTCCCCAGAGTGAGGAGTATGTCCCTCTTATAGAGAGCTGTGGCAAAAACAGATGTCCCCATTGGGAGTTTGTCTCCATCCCCGATGTTGTTCTGGTGACAGTTCAGAAATGTTGGCTTTCTGTCTCGGTGACAACGGTCACCAGGACAAATAGGATCTTACCAGAGGGGACACAGACAGCCTAACCTTTCATTAATCTAGCCAAAGCTTAAAGAAAATAAAGTTTTGCCTTTACACACTCTAAGTTCGGTGACTACACGATGCACATGATGGTAAGCTGTCCCCATCCCTCCATACAAGCCCACCTAACTTGACCTCCCTGCAGTTCAGGACACACAACCCACAGTGCTGCAGTGCAAGCCACGCCCACGGGGGCTCACAATCAGCCAACAGCTGACGCCCTAGTTTCCCCGCGGCTGTTAGGACCCCTGTGATTGGCTTCACGCCTGGATAACACCGGTGGGGGAATTACACCGAGCCGCCACCCGGAGCCCCGTCCCTGACGTCACATTCTACGTCGCCCTTTTATCGCGCCGGCCAACTCCTCTCGCGCCCCTCCGGTAGCAGGCCCGTCTCACCTTGGCGTGCAGAACGCAGCCCCAGCCGTCCGCTCCGTCCGGCTCCCGCCTGACGACTGGCTGGGAGAGTTGGAGGGTGCGGCCACGGCTGCGAACTCCACGCCTCACGCATCTTTTTCCCCGCCTCCTGCAGCACTGCGTAGGTGCCACACCCCTTCCTCTTTATGGGCACTAATTCAAAGCCGGGAAAACTTTATTAGCAGCATTATTCTACTGAACACACAGTTGAGAAGGGCATAAAGAGGGTTCCTCTTGTAGGAAGAAAAGACTCCTAAAGGGGAACTTAACCCAAAACCTAAAAAGCAAACACAAAGGCACAGCTCATTTTATTAAAACTCAGTTGTAAAACAGTGTCCTTTCCATGCATATTTACCTTATCTTGCATTCCAGTGAATTTTCCCAGTCCCTCCACTCTTCTGTGCCACCATTTTGTTTCACCCAGCCATGCCAATCCAGTGCATGCATGGTTACCATTAGTAGGGCAATTAGAAAACATTTCCCCCCCTAGAGCCCTGGGTGCACACGTGGCAGCATTGGCGCCATACCCACCTTCTTATAAACCACCAATCCCGCGCATGCGCTCTAGCGTGCAACATTTGGTTTACATGTTGTCATAGTAATGAAACCTAAGTGTGTAAAGCACATGATTCTCGCTAAATCACTGAGTACACATGTGAACAAAATAATCCCCCGTTGTTGCACCGCCAATCCTGGGCATGCCGCACCAAAGCGCTGTAGTGTGAGTCATTTGGATTACACGTTGCCATAGTAATAGCAACATAAGTGATTCTCACTAGATCGCTGAGTGTGCACAACTGGCGGTCTTTACCTTATCATTGCTATGGCAACCTGTAAATTAAAAAATCCCCCACTAGAGCGCTGGTTGCGCTGCCAATGCCACGCATGTACACCCAACACTCTAATGGATGTCATTTGGTTTACATGTTTCCATAGTAACGGCAACGTAAGCATGTCACAAAATGATTCCGACTAGAGCACTGGATGCACATGTGGGGATTTGGCGCCGCTTGCATTGTTATTGCTCTGGCAACATGTAAATGAAACGATTCCTTGCTAGAGCGCTGATTGTGCCACCAATACCGTGCTTACGCACCCAGCGCTGTAGCACCAATACTTTTTGTTTCCATGTTTCCATAGTAACGGCAATGTTAGAGTGTAAACCACAGGGTATCATCTTACTCACTATTTAAAACTGATCTCCGGCCTCCCGTTCAGTCTTACTTATCTGCATAGTTACCGGCTCCTCTCCTGGACTGAAATTGCTAACTCTGATCTCACTGCACACTGCGAGCGTTTCACAATGTGCATTAGAAGCTGCAGCAAGACAGATAGAGCCGGTGTTCTATCAAAGATTTTGACAGCGGTGGAATGTGTGACCAGTCACGTGGTCACACATTTTAACCTAATCACGCCCACTTTGTCGGCGGTAGATTATGTGACCAGCAAAAGGTGAAGAATTCCAACGCTTTGTCAGCTGTCTCAGTGCAGATCGGCATCGCAGATGGTATGTGCAGGAGAACCGATCTGCCCTGGAACAGCTGATCGGGCCTGAAATGTCCCTTCTATCTGACTTTGTGGAATTTGAGATCGCAGTCACAGAGTCGGATAGAAGTGACATTTCAGGACCGATCAGCTGTTCCAGGGCAGATCGGTTCTCCTGCACATACCATCTGCAATGCCGATCTGCACTGAGACAGCTGACAAAGCGTTGGAATTCTTCACCTTTTACCAGCCACATATTCCACCGCCGAAAAACTGGGCGGGATTACGTTAAAATGTGTGACCACGTGACCGGGCACACATTCTAACGCAGTCACAAACTTTGATAGAACACCGGCCTCTTATCCTGACTGGAGGATGTCCAGTATCTCCTGGTCCTTTCCTTCCCAGACTGATTGTTCCTGGCCCGCCCCCTTTCATTCATTGGATTTCAATCATGAAGGCTCAGCATCACATGTGGGCGTTACCTAGGGCGGTCTGCATGCAAATACAGTCTGCCTAGGAATGCCCACTCCTCCAGACTGACATCAAGCCATCAAGGCATTTTGATATTTGCATAACTCCTCCCAAGAGCCGGCCCACTGCTTACATCAGGGCTGAGGCAGGGTGCTGTGATGTTTTCAGGAAGCTATGTACAGCACCCCGCCGGCACCTCCCACCAGCCATGATCTACATGCATTGCACAGAGAAGCACAGAGACCCAGCGATGTCACTGGGTTTATATTAATAAATATTATGAAAATGGAAAGGTTTAATTGAACCGCTTTTCTATTATGTTACTGAACCTGCTTCTGGTTGTTCACTTTTGTACATGCGGTCAAATGAAGGATGATCGCAACTAGAGATGAATAGAAAAGCCTTGTGACAAGAACAAATGTGTCCCTGGAATGCATTTCCTTACATTGTCCTACGTGTCTATGATGACAAAAGCCCAACGGTCGCAAAAGGGTTAAAGGATAACACCAGGTACATCGAGCAAATAGAGACTTTGCTTCCCTGTGCGCCCAGCGTTCCATGTCTGTGCCTGCTGGTCTCATCTCTGGGATATAACTGGCCCTCTGAACACACACCCATCCGTGGGAGAAAAAAATACTACCCACGTCATGATGACTGCAGAATTCTTATCACAGATCTGCCTCTGGTGATAACCGCACCATGCAGGGGAAACCTAGACCTCCCGCTATCAACATATACTCCGTCAGAATTCCGTTGGCAGAAATGACTGTTTTGGAGCTGAGCGCTAACATTTATGTGTAATCCCAGCCTGGACAATTACATTTACATAATTATAGTTTACTATTGTATATGGTATGTAAATATAGTCCATGTCGGTGTTTCTCAACCTTTCTTCAGTCATGGCACCTTAATAGTATGCAAAATCTCCAGGCACCCCATTCTAAAAATGTAAAAAAAAAACGATGTGTGGTTCCTCTAATAACTGTTCCAGGTTTTATGCAGGATAGGGGTCTGATATAGATTATAAAGAGAATAAACACACACAAAAAATGGGGAGTGCCTGCCCACCGTTCATACCAGAGTCCCCCTTAACATCAGGAGCACCCCCATCCCATCTCTTTCTCTCATACTGGGAGCCCCTTTCATAAAAAAAGCCCCCTTTACATCTAAGTCCTTAGTACCCCCCTTTACATCAGAGGCCTCAGTCCCCCCTTTACATCAGAGGCCTCAGTCCCCCCTTTACATCAGAGTCCTCAGTCCCCCCTTTACATCGGTGTCCTCAGTCTCACTTTCACATCAGATTCCTCACTCCCCCTTCACATCAGAATCCCCAGTTCTCCTTCACATCAGAGTCCTCTACCCCGCTACACATTAGAATCCTCAATCCCCCCTTCACATCAGAGTTCTCAGTTCCCCTTCAGATCAGAGTCCTAGTC